TGTATTGCTGCATCAGTTGTGGTGATGGTTTTTTTCTCTTTCTGTTGCAGCAATATGTGCTGCACTTGACTATCGTAGTTCTGATGTGAACTCCAATTGTTTGAGATACATGGATGCCCAGTCTATCTCTGCTGTCTGTGACACACATCTGTTACTCCTATGTTGCCTTCATTCTTTGATGAATATCCACTACTCTATGTTCTTTCTAATGGAATAGCTGAATCACTACTCTTCAAGCTTCTTTGGACAGATTTTTGATAACCCGACCATTTTCTCAACTGTCAGAAGCATAATCTATGATTAGATAAGGATGTTGTATCTGTGTCCTGTATGTGATCTGTATGTTGTATCTGTGTCCTGTATGTGAACTGTATGTTGTATCTGTGTCCTGTATGTGATCTGTATGTGATCTGTATCCATGTGTCCTGTACATGATCTATGTGTGGTATCTGTGTGTCCTGTACATGATCTGTATGATCTGTGTGGTATCTATGTGTCCTGTATGTGATCTGTATGTTGTATCTGTGTGTCCTGTATGTGATCTGTATGTATGTGTCTGTATGTGTGTCCTGTATGTGGTCTGTATGTTGTATCTATGTGTCCTGTATGTGATCTGTATGTTGTATCCATGTGTCCTGTACATGATCTGTATGTTGTATCTATGTGTCCTGTACATGATCTGTATGTTGTATCTATGTGTCCTGTATGTGATCTGTATGTTGTATCTGTGTCCTGTATGTGATCTGTATGTTGTATCTATGTGTCCTGTATGTGATCTGTATATTGTATCTGTGTCCCGTATGTGATCTGTATGTTGTATCTGTGACCTGTATGTGATCTGTATGTTGTATCTGTGTCCTGTATGTGATCTGTATGTTGTATCTGTGTCCTGTATGTGATCTGTATGTGGTATCTGTGTGTCCTGTACATGATCTATATGTGGTATCTGTGTGTCCTGTATGTGGTCTGTATGTTGTATCTATGTGTCCTGTACATGATCTGTATGTGGTATCTATGTGTCCTGTATGTGATCTGTATGTTGTATCTATGTCCTGTATGTGATCTGTATGTTGTATCTGTGTCCTGTATGTGATCTGTATGTTGTATCTGTGTCCTGTATGTGATCTGTATGTTGTATCTGTGTCCTGTATGTGATCTGTATGTTGTATCCATGTGTCCTGTACATGATCTATGTGTGGTATCTGTGTGTCCTGTACATGATCTGTATGTGGTATCTATGTGTCCTGTATGTGATCTGTATGTTGTATCTGTGTGTCCTGTATGTGATCTGTATGTGGTATTTGTGTGTCCTCTATGTGGTCTGTATGTTGTATCTATGTGTCCTGTATGTGATCTGTATGTTGTATCCATGTGTCCTGTACATGATCTGTATGTTGTATCCATGTGTCCTGTACATGATCTGTATGTTGTATCTATGTGTCCTGTATGTGATCTGTATGTTGTATCTGTGTCCTGTATGTGATCTGTATGTTGTATCTATGTGTCCTGTATGTGATCTGTATGTTGTATCTGTGTCCCGTATGTGATCTGTATGTTGTATCTGTGTCCTGTATGTGATCTGTATGTTGTATCTGTGTCCTGTATGTGATCTGTATGTTGTATCTGTGTCCTGTATGTGATCTGTATGTGGTATCTGTGTGTCCTGTATGTGATCTGTATGTGGTATCTGTGTGTCCTGTATGTGATCTGTATGTTGTATCCATGTGTCCTGTATGTGATCTGTATGTTGTATCCATGTGTCCTGTACATGATCTGTATGTTGTATCTATGTGTCCTGTACATGATCTGTATGTTGTATCTATGTGTCCTGTATGTGATCTGTATGTTGTATCTGTGTCCTGTATGTGATCTGTATGTTGTATCTATGTGTCCTGTATGTGATCTGTATGTTGTATCTGTGTCCCGTATGTGATCTGTATGTTGTATCTGTGACCTGTATGTGATCTGTATGTTGTATCTGTGTCCTGTATGTGATCTGTATGTTGTATCTGTGTCCTGTATGTGATCTGTATGTGGTATCTGTGTGTCCTGTACATGATCTGTATGTGGTATCTGTGTGTCCTGTATGTGATCTGTATGTTGTATCCATGTGTCCTGTATGTGATCTGTATGTTGTATCTGTGTGTCCTGTATGTGATCTGTATGTTGTATCTGTGTCCTGTATGTGATCTGTATGTTGTATCTGTGTGTCCTGTATGTGATCTATATGTGGTATCTGTGTGTCCTGTATGTGATCTGTATGTGGTATCTGTGTGTCCTGTACATGATCTGTATGTGGTATCTGTGTGTCCTGTATGTGATCTGTATGTCCTGTATATGTGATCTGTATGTTGTATCTGTGTGTGGTATCTGTGTGTCCTGTATGTTTGTATCTGTGTCCTGTATGTGATCTGTATGTTGCATCTATGTATCCTGTATGTGATCTGTATGTTGTATCCATGTGTCCTGTATGTGATCTGTATGTTGTATCTATGTATCCTGTATGTAATCTGTATGTTGTATCTATGTATCCTGTTTGTGATCTGTATGTTGTATCTATGTGTCCTGTATGTTGTATCTATGTGTCCTGTATGTGATCTGTATGTTGTATCTGTGTGTCCTGTATGTGATCTGTATGTTGTATCTGTGTGTCCTGTATGTGATCTACATGTGGTATCTGTGTGTCCTGTATGTGATCTGTATGTTGTATCTATGTGTCCTGTATGTGATCTGTATGTTGTATCTGTGTATCCTGTTTGTGATCTGTATGTTGTTTCTGTGTATCCTGTATGTGATCTGTTTGTTGTATCTATGTATCCTGTATGTGATCTATATGTTGTATCTATGTATTCTGTACGCAATCTGTATGTTGTATTTATGTATCCTGTATGTGATCTGTATGTGTAACTGTGCCAGTATGTTGTATGTCTATGTCCTGTACATGATCTGTAAGTGTAACAAAGAAAGTATTTTGTGAAGCTGTATATGGTGACAGATACAACTCAACTAAACAGAAATGTGAGAGCTAAAGGTAGTGAGTGTCGTGTGGTGACTAGTGCACAGTAAGATATCATAGTGAGAGCTACAGGTAGTGAGTGTCGAGTGGTGACTAGTGCACAGTAAGATATCATAGTGAGTGTCGAGTGGTGACTAGTGCACAGTAAGATATCATAGTGAGTGTCGAGTGGTGACTAGTGCACAGTAAGATATCATAGTGATTGTCGAGTGGTGACTAGTGCACAGTGAGATATCATAGTGAGTGTCGAGTGGTGACTAGTGCACAGTAAGATATCATAGTGAGTGTCGAGTGAGTGACTAGTGCACAGTAAGATATCATAGTGAGTGTCGAGTGAGTGACTAGTGCACAGTAAGATATCATAGTGAGTGTCGTGTGGTGACTAGTGCACAGTAAGATATCATAGTGAGTGTCGAGTGGTGACTAGTGCACAGTAAGATATCATAGTGAGTGTCGAGTGAGTGACTAGTGCACAGTAAGATATCATAGTGAGTGTTGAGTGGGTGACTAGTGCACAGTAAGATATCATAGTGAGTGTCGAGTGAGTGACTAGTGCACAGTAAGATATCATAGTGAGTGTCGAGTGGTGACTAGTGCACAGTAAGATATCATAGTGAGTGTCGAGTGGTGACTAGTGCACAGTAAGATATCATAGTGAGTGTCGAGTGGTGACTAGTGCACAGTAAGATATCATAGTGAGTGTCGAGTGGTGACTAGTGCACAGTAAGATATCATAGTGAGTGTCGAGTGGTGACTAGTGCACAGTAAGATATCATAGTGAGTGTCGAGTGGTGACTAGTGCACAGTAAGATATCATAGTGAGTGTCGAGTGGTGACTAGTGCACAGTAAGATATCATAGTGAGTGTCGAGTGGTGACTAGTGCACAGTAAGATATCATAGTGAGTGTCGAGTGGTGACTAGTGCACAGTAAGATATCATAGTGAGATGTATCACATTGGGTTGAGTTATTAGTCGAGCAGCCATTATGTTAGTTCAGTCTGACCATGTTTGTGAGCTGTTCTGGAGGTCAGTGTAGCGCTGTTGTCACCACTGACAACTATCATTGTGGAGAGGGAAGACAGAGCTCTGCCACTCAGGCCTTATGGGAAGGGTACTCGACACCAGCCCTACAATAATAGAGGCAAACCCTTGCTATGGCTTAGATGATTGGATCTCAACACAGCTGAGTCAGAAGTTACAGCTCTGGTCCTACACAGACCTTCGGACCAAATGGTTGATTCTCTTTGGTTGGCTGTACCCATGATATGTGTGTGACTTATGATTCTCTTTGGTTGGCTGTACCCACGATATGTGTGTGACTTATGATTCTCTTTGGTTGGCTGTACCCATGATATGTGTGTGACTTATGATTCTCTTTGGTTGGCTGTACCCATGATATGTGTGTGACTTATGATTCTCTTTGGTTGGCTGTACCCATGATATGTGTGTGACTTATGATTCTCTTTGGTTGGCTGTACCCATGATATGTGTGTGACTTATGATTCTCTTTGGTTGGCTGTACCCATGATATGTGTGTGACTTATGATTCTCTTTTGTTGGCTGTACCCATCATAAGTGTGTGACTTATGATTCTCTTTGGTTGGCTGTACCCATGATATGTGTGTGACTTATGATTCTCTTTGGTTGGCTGTGACTTATGATTCTCTTTGGTTGGCTGTGACTTATGATTCTCTTTGGTTGGCTGTGACTTATGATTCTCTGTGGTTGGCTGTACCCATGATATGTGTGTGACTTATGATTCTCTTTGGTTGGCTGTACCCATGATATGTGTGTGACTTATGATTCTCTTTGGTTGGCTGTACCCATGATATGTGTGTGACTTATGATTCTCTTTGGTTGGCTGTACCCATGATATGTGTGTGACTTATGATTCTCATTGGTTGGCTGTACCCATGATATGTGTGTGACTTATGATTCTCTTTGGTTGTCTGTACCTATGATATGTGTGTGACTTATGTTGTGATGATTTTATTGTACCAGGAGTTGATGGCACAGATTCGCTTGCTCAGACAGGCAATGACAAGTAAAGACACCATGTTGCCCAAACCAGTCTCACCACCAGCCTGTGTAGACAACCTGCAACCAGGGGAAGTTGAGGATATTTTCTGCATTGTAAGTTTTGAACTTCTACTCACAGCCACTACCTTATCTTCTTCTTCTTCATTTTTCTCCTAGAAATTCATCCAGTGGGTTGTGGCTAAAAATCTTCACAATAGGGGAACAACAAGCACAAAACTGACAAATCAACATTTTAGCCAGAGCCTTTCTTAACATGAACTACACAACAGTAACAAAGGGCAAAGTACTCCAACTGCATGTGCCCACCATTTTTCTCCTCCTCCTGCATCTTTTTTCTCCTTTCAGCCACTTATCCTGCCTGCTGCTGATTCTTCTTCTTCTCTTCTTCCACTTTTTGACCCTCTTCTTCTCCCTCTTCTTATCTTTAGCTGTTTCTAGTTATTCCAGCTACCTGCTTTGCTGTGAGAGACTGAGCCATCTGTAGTAAACCTGGAGAGTGAAGATGATCATTTAACCACCTCACCGATTCTTCTGTTGTTGCTTTCCCGCCTGTGATGATGATAATGATGGCGATGATTGTTGTTGTAGTTCTCGTGTTGTTGGTAAACATAATTTTTACACACCACAATGTAGCCCTAATTACTACATATTTCATGTCAACAGCATCTTGAAAATACTTTAGTCTTCTTGTTTCTGTTCACACTACCTGTCAGCATCAAGTTAGGAACAGCTTGTGTGGCCTTTGTGTCTTCTGCTCTGTGCTAACCCATCATTTGTGGAGCCTATTCTTGCTCTGTTTTCCTGGTATCCTAATGTCAGGGCTGCATGGGGTGTGCTCTCTGGTTACGTGTTCCAGTTATCTCACTTGATGTCTCTTTGTGAGGTTCATGGCTTAATTATACAATAATAGAAATGGCTTACCAGTACCCCTAAAATTGAAAAAAAATTAAAAATATGTGATTGAATTGGTTCTGCTTGCTTCCCATTTAAATAAAATGAATGGTACTCAGTTGCCTCTACCAAAGAGAAGGTACAGTTAAGATGTTCGCTGCTATCAGTTTTGAGACCACTGTGGTATTTCTCGGACTGAGCGATGTTTTCGAGGACTGTTGTTCTGAAGAAGTTACATGATTTTGTGACAGAATCTGTGATTAACCTTCTGTGTGTTCCACAGCCACAACCCAAGTATCTGAGCCACATCAAGAACCCATGCTGGTATGCTGTGACGCCATCGGACCCAGGGGGAAGAACTCTGCAGTGTCTGCCTTACTTTCACATCCTAGGCTGTGCCAAGTCAGGCACCACAGATCTGTGGAACAGGCTGATGTCTCACCCGCACACCGTGTCCAACGATGGGCTGCTGCACAAGGAGGCTTTGTGGTGGTCTTGGTACAGATATGGTTAGTTGTGGGGGTGGATGTCAGGGGTTGATGTCAGGGCTTGTTGTGGGGGTGGATGTCAGGGGTTGATGTCAGGGCTGGTTGTGGGGGTAGTTGTAGTTGTTGGTTTTAGGGAAGTTGTTAGTAGGGGTTGTTGTTGATTGATAATTCTTGATGGTGGTTATAGGTGTGAGAGGTTGCTGTACTAGGAAGATAGTTGTTGCTGGTTGTAGTTGTTGTTGTTGTTCTGGTTGTTCTCAACATGATTCTCATACCCCATTTTGTGGCTGGGGGTGCTGAAATCAGATGTGTTGGTCTGAAAGGCACTGATATTACAGCCTAGCTGTTAACCACAACATAGAGGAAGAAGTTTTAGTTATGGGATATTTTGGGGTGTTGTAATTATGGAATAGTTGCAATATCCATCGTGTATTTACAGTTTAAAGAAAGTTAGCTTATGTCAACCAGATGTGATACTGAGGTCTAATGTTTTGTTGATCAAAGGGCAGAACTATTGTATCTTAGGATAAACAGAGTCAGTGAGTCTAGCATCCTTCACCAGCAAGTGGGACAGAAGATGATGCACTCAATCTTGTCAAATGTAGGCATTTCTCATTAAAGATTATGTACACAATATTGTAACTTCACTGAGTCTCCTTATAGATTGTGTAAAAAAGACAGTCGGCATGGTATGTTGTGGCTTACAGCTAGGCTGTGATATCTGCACCTTTAGACCTAATTATACCTAATTCAGCACATGCCTGATTAGTGGTTGTTTTTTATGGCATGTTAGGGAGCGGGGAATGGAGGAGGGGGGGGGTGTCTGGTTCCCCCACCCCAAAGACCCCCACATGGAGAGATTTTATGTATTGAAAAAGTTAATGACTGTCGAGTAATGAGTTTCTCACACCGTCCATGTTATTATTGCAGGCATGTCTGGCTACAACAGGAACCGGCCGGTTCAGAACTTCAGTTATTACATCAGCCTGTTCCAGGACACAGCCAGACAGATTCAGTCTTCCATCGATCAGGAGACACTCTTTCATCAGATCCTTATCACAGGTTCACTGTCTGCATTCTCCATCACTAGTGTCGTCATTTCATTAACATCATCAGTTTTATTATCATCTCCATGATCCGTAACTCCCTGATAATCATCATCATCATCATCCTAGTCATCATATCATTAATCTTGTAAATTGTAATAAATGCAGCCAAATACACAGGTCCGTGCAGACAGATTTGATATGCTCCATTAGTCCCACATCTTCCATGTCAAAAGGTCAGTCTCACACCCGCCAGTTTGACTTTCTCAAGGAGAAACTAACCACACCCAAGGATAGAGCCCAACATAACCCCCACCCCCACCCCCACCCCCTTTTTCAAAATCTCTGGATGTTATGGTAAACCTTTTGATCAAACTACTAGTTATAATCATTGACATTGACATTGGTCATCATTTCTATCTCATACCTGGCTCATCATTTCTGATGCAGATGTTATTCTTCCATGCCATGATGCCACATTGTCTCAAACCCTCTCTTTTCATCTCCATCTGCCGCTCTAAATCCCCTCACCCCCACCCCTCCTGCATCTTCTTGGTCTGCTGGTCAAAGGTCATACTGACATTCAGTCCAAGTGTGTGTATTCTAGCTGTGGGTGGATGCGGGTGATTGAGCTGAACATGCCTGTATGGCCAGACTGTTATAGGACATGATGTCAGCTCGATTGATTATAGCCAGTACCCTTTGTTTGATTAATACAACACAGAACAAATCTCATCAGTCATTTTATGCTTGTGGAGCTTTCAAAGACCATTGCAACTTCTGATCTGTCCGGAATGTTGCAGTGATTAAACCTCAATAATCAAGAGATCGGAGCACCTATGGATCTGTCTGGAATGCTGCAATGATAAACCTCACTAATCAAGAGATCGGAGCACCTATGGATCTGTCTGGAATGCTGCAATGATAAACCTCACTAATCAAGAGATCGGAGCATCTATGGATCTGTCTGGAATGCTGCAATGATAAACCTCACTAATCAAGAGATCGGAGCACCTATGGATCTGTCTGGAATGCTGCAATGATAAACCTCACTAATCAAGAGATCGGAGCATCTATGGATCTGTCTGGAATGCTGCAATGATAAACCTCACTAATCAAGAGATCGGAGCATCTATGGATCTGTCTGGAATGCTGCAATGATAAACCTCAATAATCAAGAGATCGGAGCACCTATGGATCTGTCTGGAATGCTGCAATGATAAACCTCACTAATCAAGAGATCGGAGCACCTATGGATCTGTCTGGAATGCTGCAATGATAAACCTCACTAATCAAGAGATCGGAGCATCTATGGATCTGTCTGGAATGCTGCAATGATAAACCTCACTAATCAAGAGATCGGAGCACCTTTGGATCTGTCTGGAATGCTGCAATGATAAACCTCACTAATCAAGAGATCGGAGCACCTATGGATCTGTCTGGAATGCTGCAATGATAAACCTCAATAATCAAGAGATCGGAGCACCTTTGGATCTGTCCGGAATGCTGCAATGACAAACCTCACTAATCATATACCTTTTGTAATCACATGGAGATCATGGTTAAACACTGAAGGCTGAATGTTTTATTCTCTTGTTTGGCTGAATGTAGACAAAGACTTATGCTGCAGAAAAGAATAAAAAGGTGTTTTGTCAATCATCTCTGTGACTAGGTGATGCATCACCACCTGACTTCTGGGACTTCAGAGGTTGGGTCAACATCAGCCAGAACCGCCTGCAGACAATCCCCAGCATCATCACCCCACACCTGATGAGGCACATCTATACCAACCCAAAGTTTATCATCATGTTTAGGGATCCCATCGACAGGTAAACTGTGCTTATACTTGTACACTTTACCTTGCCCAATACTTGAACACTTTACCTTACCCAATACTTGTACACTTTACCTTGCCCAATACGTGTACACTTTACCTTACCCAATACTTGTACACTTTACCTTGCCCAATACGTGTACACTTTACCTTGCCCAATACTTGTACACTTTACCTTACCCAATACTTGTACACTTTACCTTGCCCAATACGTGTACACTTTACCTTGCCCAATACTTGTACACTTTACCTTGCCCAATACTTGTACACTTTACCTTACCCAATACTTGTACACTTTACCTTACCCAATACTTGTACACTTTACCTTGCCCAATATGTGTACACTTTACCTTGCCCAATACTCGTGCACTTTGCCTGGTTTAGCAATTTCTGTATCTCTCCACTGTAGCTGTTTCTACCTGCTTTAGCTATGTCTGTCAGATTTCACTGTTTCTTCATAATTTTGCTGTTTCTACTTCAGCAGCTGTTTCTCCTTGATTCAGATTTTTCTGCCTGGTTCAGCTGTTTCTCTTTTTTCAATTGTTCCTGCCTGCATCTTCGTCACTACTTCATACTATCAGTGCCAAACATGGACAATGGACAGGGCACTAGAATAGAAAATAGCTACATGTGGAAAGCACTGTCTCCGTAAGGTCACCAACAACTCATGAAGAGACAGTTTTACAAATACCAGCACTAGAGAGAAAGTTGGAATATGACAATGTCTGGATTATATTGGCAGACAAAGAATAAAATTGTTTGGTCCTCTAGAGAAATCAGCCAGACCATATAAAACCTTTTATAGCAGAACATCCGGAAGCAAGACGAGGGAAGGACCAAGACGCTGACTACCCAGGACTTCCGAAGCGATGCTTGCCACTCTTCATGCCACTTTTCTCAACATGCTCTGGGAGTTGGTTACAGTTACAACATTCCCCCGTGTGGGTTCCGGGGCCCTATTGTGGGGAAAACAAGAATAGACCCACTGCCTCCCCAAAAGCATGTCGTAAGAGTCGACTAACTGGGGAGCTTCCTTTGAAGTCGGAGTGCATCTGCCTGAGAGGCAAGGAACCAGCAGTCTGCATTCAATTGAATCAGATCTGTAAAACTGATGCACATGCAACACTCAGGTTCTGGAGCATGACTGCAGTCCAGAAGTGGACGAACAACCAGAACTTTACGCCAGAGTGTACAGCTGGTGAACACAAAGAAGAAGAAGAAGTTACAACATTTGTGTACAGCTGATTCACAAGCCAGCAAAAGGCTGCAGTGGCTGCCTTCACCTCCATTCTCAAACTAGACGTGGTGTCATATGCCAGGCTTTTTTGCACGCAGCAATGTTCATTCACTTTTTCTAAGAACCCCCATGAGCTTTGTCTACCTCTCAACACAGAGCCATCTGTATAGATAATCACATCACTGTGGCTGGAATTGTCATGAATCGTTTGTTGAACTTCTGATTCTGCAGAGACCGCTGGCCAGTGACTGCACTGATGGCCCAGTGTGATCAGAACGCTACACAAGTCTGGACATTCTCACCCACTTCTCTCCTGGCTCAATGTTATCAAGCCTACACACATGTCTGGTTGTGCCTTCAGCTTGCGCCATCCAAGACCTTCCTCTTTTCAGTCTGTGACCCTTAGCTGTCTCTAGGGCTTCGTGTAGGAGGTGCTTCCTGTCTGCAGCTACTCTGAGATGTGACTTTGTTGCATAACTTTACGCTTATCTGTAATACTCAGTGGTGCAAGTATGTATCACATACACACTGGCGGGGTATCTCTTTTACATCCCAGAATTACCTTTTTGGCTGTATTCTGTATGCATTCAAGTTTCACCAGCTGACTCTTTGATATGGCAAGCATTCCAAGTCCAGAATCTGTCACCGACAGGATCACATGCTGGAACATTGTGAACACAATTCTTTGTTTCTTATCCATTGTTTTTGGAACATTCTTTGTTCCATATCCATTGTTTTTGGAACATTCTTTGTTCCATATCCATTGTTTTTGGAACATTCTTTGTTCCATATCCATTGTTTTTGGAACATTCTTTGTTCCATATCCATTGTTTTTGGAACATTCTTTGTTCCATATTGATCTGGCTTATTTGTATGCAGACTGTTCATTCCGGCTTCTCAGGCAGATGCACTCCGACATCAAAAGATGCCCCCAGTTAGTTGTCTCTTATGCCATGCTTGTTTGTGGGTGGGGGGGGGGGGGGGGGGGGGAATAGGTCTGTTTTTGTTTTCCCCACAATGGGACTCCAGGACCCACCTGGCGAGGACCTATTTTTTAAATGTTGTAGCTGAAAATGGCCAGTTGGAAAAATCACTTGGAGAGAGCTCAATTCACGTGATATCTGTAAACATACACTTGGAGAGAGCTCAATTCACGTGATATCTTTAAACATACACTTGGAGAGAGCTCAATTCACAGGTGATATCTGTAATCATACACTTGAAGAGAGCTCAATTCACAGGTGATATCTGTAATCATACACTTGGAGAGAGCTCAATTCACAGGTGATATCTGTAATCATACACTTGGAGAGAGCTCAATTCACAGGTGATATCTGTAATCATACACTTGGAGAGAGCTCAATTCACAGGTGATATCTGTAATCATACACTTGGAGAGAGCTCAATTCACAGGTGATATCTGTAATCTTACACTTGGAGAGAGCTCAATTCACAGGTGATATCTGTAATCATACACTTGGAGAGAGCTCAATTCACAGGTGATATCTGTAAACATACACTTGGAGAGAGCTCAATTCACAGGTGATATCTGTAATCATACACTTGGAGAGAGCTCAATTCACAGGTGATATCTGTAATCATACACTTGGAGAGAGCTCAATTCACAGGTGATATCTGTAATCATACACTTGGAGAGAGCTCAATTCACAGGTGATATCTGTAATCATACACTTGGAGAGAGCTCAATTCACAGGTGATATCTGTAATCATACACTTGGAGAGAGCTCAATTCACAGGTGATATCTGTAATCATACACTTGGAGAGAGCTCAATTCACAGGTGATATCTGTAATCATACACTTGGAGAGAGCTCAATTCACAGGTGATATCTGTAATCATACACTTGGAGAGAGCTCAATTCACAGGTGATATTTGTAATCATACACTTGGAGAGAGCTCAATTCACAGGTGATATCTGTAATCATACACTTGGAGAGAGCTCAATTCACAGGTGATATCTGTAATCATACACTTGGAGAGAGCTCAATTCACAGGTGATATCTGTAATCATACACTTGGAGAGAGCTCAATTCACAGGTGATATCTGTAATCATACACTTGGAGAGAGCTCAATTCACAGGTGATATCTGTAATCATACACTTGGAGAGAGCTCAATTCACAGGTGATATCTGTAATCATACACTTGGAGAGAGCTCAATTCACAGGTGATATCTGTAATCATACACTTGGAGAGAGCTCAATTCACAGGTGATATCTGTAATCATACACTTGGAGAGAGCTCAATTCACAGGTGAAATCTGTAATCATACATTGTTTGCTATAAGAAACCCGGCTGTCTGCCTCCTAGGACTGTAATAGGAGTCGTATGTATCAGGAGTAAAAATGTTGTGAACTGGTGAACATGATTCTTGTATTCATAGGCTGTACTCGGACTACTTCTTTGTTGGTTTGGGCCTGACATCGCAGGACTTCCACAATGACATCCTGGCATCTGTTGACATGCTGGCCAAGTGTGTGGAGCAGAGGGGTCTACATAGTTGCTTCCATGATCTGGAGCTCTATGTCCGACTGCCTGTAAGTGGTGATATAAGTCAGAATGTATGAAGAGCTCAAGTTTGATGTGTGGGAGAGTGGGTGGTGTTGGAGCTCAAGTTTGATGTGTGGGAGAGTGGGTGGTGTTGGAGCTCAAGTTTGATGTGTGGAAGAGTGGGTGGTGTTGGAGCTCAAGTTTGATGTGTGGGAGAGTGGGTGGTGTTGGAACTCAAGTTTGATGTGTAGGAGAGTGGGTGGTGTTGGAGCTCAAGTTTGATGTGTGGGAGAGTGGGTGGTGTTGGAGCTCAAGTTTGATGTGTGGGAGAGTGGGTGGTGTTGGAACTCAAGTTTGATGTGTGGGAGAGTGGGTGGTGTTGGAGCTCAAGTTTGATGTGTGGGAGAGTGGGTGGTGTTGGAGCTCAAGTTTGATGTGTGGGAGAGTGGGTGGTGTTGGAGCTCAAGTTTGATGTGTGGGAGAGTGGGTGGTGTTGGAGCTCAAGTTTGATGTGTGCGAGAGTGGGTGGTGATGGAACTCAAGTTTGATGTGTTTGAGAGTGGGTGGTGTTGGAACTCAAGTTTGATGTGTGGGAGAGTGGGTGGTGCTGGAGCTCAAGTTTGATGTGTGGGAGAGTGGGTGGTGTTGGAACTCAAGTTTGATGTGTGGGAGAGTGGGTAGTGTTGGAGCTCAAGTTTGATGTGTGGGAGAGTGGGTGGTGTTGGAGCTCAAGTTTGATGTGTGAGAAAGGGGATAGGATTTGTGGGGATGTGGGTAAGAATGTATGAGGATTGCGTACAGTTTGTGAGAAAACAGGTAACTGGTATGTCAGAGACCTAGATTGTGTGGCAAATGGGTTACATTATCTGGTGAAAAAGAGATTTTGTAGAGCAGGCCTGTTCAGCTAAGGTTACCCAGGGACCAGAATGTTAGAATTGGGGATGGTCATCGGGTCAGAGGCCCGACCCCCAGCATAGAAAGATAATACATTAATACAATTGGCAGTGATCCACGGGCCACTCACTAGGCCTCTGCGGGCCGGCAGTTGTGGATGTAGAGGAAAGAAGTTATAAGAGTATGTCAATGAGTGCATTGGTATGGTAAAATTATGAGTACAATTGTCTTAAAGGAGCAGGTATGATTGTCTAAAGGAGCAGGTATGATTGTCTAAAGGAGCAGGTATGATTGTCTAAAGGAGCAGGTATGATTGTCTAAAGGAGCAGGTATGATTGTCTAAAGGAGCAGGTATGATTGTCTAAAGGAGCAGGTATGATTGTCTAAAGGAGCAGGTATGATTGTCTAAAGGAGCAGGTATGATTGTCTAAAGGAGCAGGTATGATTGTCTAAAGGAGCAGGTACGATTGTCTAAAGGAGCAGGTACGATTGTCTAAAGGAGCAGGTATGATTGTCTAAAGGAGCAGGTATGATTGTCTAAAGGAGCAGGTACGATTGTCTAAAGGAGCAGGTATGATTGTCTAAAGGAGCAGGTATGATTGTCTAAAGGAGCAGGTATGATTGTCTAAAGGAGCAGGTATGATTGTCTAAAGGAGCAGGTATGATTGTCTAAAGGAGCAGGTATGATTGTCTAAAGGAGCAGGTATGATTGTCTAAAGGAGCAGGTACGATTGTCTAAAGGAGCAGGTATGATTGTCTAAAGGAGCAGGTATGATTGTCTAAAGGAGCAGGTATGATTGTCTAAAGGAGCAGGTATGATTGTCTAAAGGAGCAGGTATGATTGTCTAAAGGAGCAGGTATGATTGTCTAAAGGAGCAGGTATGATTGTCTAAAGGAGCAGGTATGATTGTCTAAAGGAGCAGGTATGATTGTCTAAAGGAGCAGGTACGATTGTCTAAAGGAGCAGGTATGATTGTCTAAAGGAGCAGGTATGATTGTCTAAAGGAGCAGGTACGATTGTCTAAAGGAGCAGGTATGATTGTCTAAAGGAGCAGGTATGATTGTCTAAAGGAGCAGGTATGATTGTCTAAAGGAGCAGGTATGATTGTCTAAAGGAGCAGGTATGATTGTCTCTAAAGGAGCAGGTATGATTGTCTAAAGGAGCAGGTATGATTGTCTAAAGGAGCAGGTATGATTGTCTAAAGGAGCAGGTATGATTGTCTAAAGGAGCAGGTACGATTGTCTAAAGGAGCAGGTATGATTGTCTAAAGGAGCAGGTATGATTGTCTAAAGGAGCAGGTACGATTGTCTAAAGGAGCAGGTATGATTGTCTAAAGGAGCAGGTATGATTGTCTAAAGGAGCAGGTATGATTGTCTAAAGGAGCAGGTATGATTGTCTAAAGGAGCAGGTACGATTGTCTAAAGGAGCAGGTATGATTGTCTAAAGGAGCAGGTATGATTGTCTAAAGGAGCAGGTATGATTGTCTAAAGGAGCAGGTACGATTGTCTAAAGGAGCAGGTATGATTGTCTAAAGGAGCAGGTATGATTGTGTCAGTGTGACGTGTTTTGATATTACTTGAGAAGGAGAAAACTGGAGTACATCGTGACAGGAGGAAAGTTGGAGGGAAGGGAAGGCTGACTGAACAGGTTCTGGACAGTTTGACATGATGGCATGGAGGATCATCTGTGTCAGAGTTGACATGACTACCAGCGACACAAGGCACAGACTATGAAATGAAGAAGAGATTACTTGATAACAATCCCTGTGTGTTTTACAGGGCCCCATTTTTTCCCAGGAGGGGGTGGGGGGAATAGATATGTTGGGCTACAAAGCTCTGATATTGCAGCCTAGCTGAAACCACAATAACCATCCTTGAAGGGTGAACAAAGAAGCAAAGAATATTTGGTTACAACCACTCACGTGCCGACATGTTGCAGGTATGAATCACTCACTGTTCAATGTGATCTCAGGTACGTCTCCCATTTGCCTGCTACTCGGTGTTCATGAGAGAATGGCTGCAGGTGTTTCCTCTGGAGAATTTCCTCTTTATCAAAACTGAAGAGTACGAGAACAATCTGGAGGATACACTGAAGTCTGTCATGGAATTCCTAGGTCTGGGTGAGTTGGCTTGTTGTGTGTGGGGGTGAACCTGTTGTGTGTGGGTGAGTGAACCTTTTGTGTGGAGGGTGAGTGAACCTGTTGTGTGGGGGTGAGTGACCCTTTTGTGTAGAGGGTGAGTTAACCTGTTGTGTGGGGGTGAGTGAACCTTTTGTGTGGAGGGTGAGTTAACCTGTTGTGTGGGGGTGAACCTGTTGTGTGTGAGTAAGTGAACCTGTTGTGTGTGGGTGAGTGAACCTACTGTGTGCAGATGAGTGAACCTGTTGTCTGGTGAATGAGTAAACCTATTGTGTGAAGAGTGAGTGAACCTGTTGTCTGGTGGATGAGTATACCTGTTGTGTGGAGATGAGTAAACCTGTTGTCTGGTAGATGAGTGAACCTTTTGTGTGATGGATAAGTGAACCTGTCATGTGGAGATGTTTGAACCTTTTGTGTGGAGATGTGTGAATCCTTTGACTTTAATCTCTAACTGTTTATATATCCATTATTTTGTATCAGTTCATCACTAATTGATCCTGTTATCTGTGTCTCCTCACAGGTCCACTCAAAGACACACAGCTACAAGTGATTGCCGAAGAGGAAAGGTCAAGGGTCACTGTTCAGAGGAAGATAGCAGGGCCCATGAAGAACGCAACCAGGGACATTCTAGAAGAGCTTCTTGGTGGCTGTAGCACAGAGCTGGCTCGGCTGATTCAGTCCGACAAGTTTACCTGGGGCTGGTGAGGTCGGAAGCAGCAACCATTGATGACAGGGGCAGGAACTTGGTAATGGCAGGGGCAGTAACCATATGACAGCAGGGGCAGTAACTATATGATGGCTGGGGCAGTAACTATCAGACGACAGGGGCCATAACTATCAGACGGCAGGGGCCGTAACTATCAGACGGCAGGAGCCGTAACTATCAGGCGGCAGGGGCAGTAACCATCTGATGACAGAGGCAGTAAGCAAGTGATGGCAGAAGCAATAACCATCTGATTGAAGGAGCAGTAATCGCTTGATGGCAGGGGCACTAATTGCCTGATGGCAGGGGCAGTAGCCATGTATAAATTTATATACAGGAATAGTGATTTGTCCCTGCTATTCACTAGTATTTATTGGATTGTCTTTCTCTAGCCATATAACGACAATAACCATATGACGGCAGGGGCAGTAACTAGGTGATGACAGGGGCAGTAACCATATAATGGCAGGGACAGTAACTAGATGTCAGGGGCAGTAATCATATGACGGCAGGGGCAGTTACTAGGTGATGACAGGGGCAGTAACTAGGTGATGTCAGAGGCAGTAATCATATGATGACAGGGGCAGTAACCATATAATGGCAGGGACAGTAATTAGGTAATGTCAGGGGCAGTAATCATATGACGACAGGGGCAGTAACCATATGATGGCAGGGGCAGTAACTAGATGACAAGGGCAGCAACCATCTGATGGCAAGGGCAATAATCATCTCATGGCAGAAGCAGTAACGACATGATGACAAGGGCAAAAAGCATCTGATTGCAGTAGTCGCATGATGGCAGGGACAGTAACCATGTATATATTTCCATCCTTCTTCTTCTTCAGCATTCCAAGCCCTTGATGTTCATTGCTGCAGATATCACCCACCTCCACTCATCTCTCTGGTTGATTTTCTCTTTCCAGTTGGTGACACCAAGTGTCTGCAAGTCTGTCTGGACATTATCTATCCATCGTCTTCTTGGTCTGCCTCATGAAGATATTTCTATCCAGGAGTAGTAATCTGTCCCTGCCATTCAGTTTACTAGTATTTATTGGATTGTCTTATAGTTCACTAACAACCTTGATGTTTTTGTCTCCATGTTCTTATTTTCATCCTTTTTTATAAATTTTTTGGTCAACCAAACCCACCTCAGTTTTTTTCAAGTTTATCAAATTTTTAATTGTGCTGTCTTTCTTGTGTATATTGAGATCTGTTTTGTTGAGTTTTATTGACTTATTAATTCCAACAAGACTTCATTTAAATCCAAATTTCTTGTGTTGTTGTTGTAACTGGTGACATTGGTATTGTATTCCACACGTGACAGTATGAGTCATCCATGTTTGACAAAACTTTACTGGGTTAATGTTGATTTACCTTGTGAGTAATTTATGGATGACAATGTTCAGTTTTGTAATATTCATATTGTGTTATTTTTTTCTCACAAAATTATACGTTTATACTAAATTATGCTAATTTCTGTGCCTGATTAACTCACTAACATATGATGTTGGTCAGATTTCAAGACACAGTTTGACATTCTCCAGAGAGAGAGAGAGAGAGAGAGAGAGTGTGTGTATGTGTGTGCACGCATGCGTGTATGTGCACGTGCCTGTGAGGGAGAGGGAGGAAGTGTGTACGTGCAAATGTTGTTATTATTGTTGTTATAAATAAAGCTAAATATAACTAACCATTCCCTCTCTGCCTCCATCCTTGCTTCCTCCCTTCTTCTTTTGTCAATATCTGATCATGCCGCTAGGCGTCGCAGTTCATTGAACCATCAGTAGCTGAGCCAGGGCGTGGCTCAGTCGTTTAATATGGCAGGATGTTATGCAGTCTCAGGGTGTCTGTGACTCCTTCAGTCCTTCTTCTTCCTCCCTTCCTCCCACTCTTCAATAATTTATGATCTCAATTGCACGTTTATTAGTTTGTTTTGTTTGCCTCAGCTGTGCCTTATGTTTGTGTGCGTGTAAATATTGTATATTATAGCTGGATTTCAGTAAATATTGGATATTATTGCTTGATACCAGTGCAAAACTGTTGTCATTTTTAATTACAGCCTGGCTTTTCTTGTGTGTTTCTGCTTTCAAATAGACTTTGTGAATGTGAGGTTATATTTGTGGCCATTGCTCATGAACTGTACCCTCTGTTAGACTCCACACATTTTGTGTGTGTATAATACTCATTTCTTGGGTTTGACCACAGATCATCCAAGTACATGTGCTGTACTTGGTCTTATAGCCAGCAGTGTATTGCCAATATATTTCATTTGGTACTCTGCTTTTTTGGGGGGGATATATCTTGTTAGTAATTCTTGTTATATTGAATGTTAATAATAAATATCATAAGATATATTCCGTCTGTCTCGTGAAACATTCTACTCCGTCTGTCTCGTGAAACATTCTACTCCGTCTGTCTCGTGAAACATTCTACTCTGTCTTCTCATGAAACATTCTACTCTATCTGTCTCGTGAAACATTATACTCCATCTGTCTCGTGAAGCATTCTACTCCGTCTGTCTTGTTAAACATTCTACTCCGTCTGTCTCGTGAAACATTCTACTTCGTCTAGCTCGAGAAAACATTCTACTCCGTCTTCTCGTGAAACATTCTACTCTGTCTCGTGAAACATTCTACTCCGTCTTCTCGTGAAACATTCTACTCCGTCTGTCTCGTGAAACATTCTACTCCGTCTGTCTCGTGAAACATTCTACTCCGTCTTCTCGTGAAACATTCTACTCCGTCTTCTTGTGAAACATTCTACTCCGTCTTCTTGTGAAACATTCTACTCTGTCTTCTTGTAAAACATTATACTCCGTCTTCTCCTGAAACATTATACTCCGTCTGTCTCGTGAAACATTATACTCTGTTTCTGAGAAGCAGACATGTCGTGGATTTTGCCAATAATTATTAAAAAATGTTTTCATTTTGTTATTGTTGTAACTGATACATTAATGCCATTTGATCTGTGCATTGATGTATATCATTTAATATTTGTCATCAATACACAGTATCATTTGATTGTTGTTGTAGATTTACAGTTTATTTGATTTTGTCATTGTCAGTGTACTGATATTATTTTGTATTTCACTGGTGATGTTATTTTGTTTTACTTGATGTTTTGATCAATGTTTGCCTGATATTTTGATCGATGTTTGCCTGATGTTTTGATTGATGTTTGCCTGATGTTTTCATCGATGTTTGCC